TTTACAGTACAAATTATATTATAAAGTAGATCTAAAATTAAGAATTAGAGAAGGATTAGGTATAAGATCTTAATCCATTTAATTTTTTATATTTAAATCACTTTTTTTCAAACTAAGTTATTTGATTTATAATCTGATGTATAATTTAATGTTATATAGGCTGTTTTAGACAGGTTATGTTACATTTGTTAAAATTAAATAATTTAATTTTAATTTTTTAAATTTATCTAAATTAATTAACTAACACTTATATTTATTAAAGACAGAAAATTGGAAAAGTACCAAGAAAAATATTAAAAAGCAATAAATAATTAAATACAAAAATAACTGTCGCTCGAAAAAGGAAGAATAGCAAAAAAGAAAAACAAATGTAAAAAAAAGAACCAAGTACGGTGATCCCAGTTTTGAACACGTGTATTATACTGATAGGTCCAGCAACATAGAATTATGGTACTCAAGTCTCTAGGATCTTCTGGGTCAACCAAAAAAAAAAAAAAAAAACAGCAAGTATCTAGGGTCAGATTTCATTCAGTCAGAACCAGAAAAGCCAGATCATTCCGAGCCATAAAGTTGAAACCAGGCCCCATCTGGGCCCCACGCCGGTGACTCCTCCGTCTTCCGACGACGGAGACTGCACCGGTGCTAACTCACTCTCACTGGAATTGGACTTGGATTTCGTGCTGTAGAGTTGCCGAATCTTGTCCAAATCATCTTTCGCGAAATCCACCTTCCTGTTGTTCTTCGATGGCACAAAGAAAGGGTACATGACCGCCCCTTGCATCGCCGAGTGGTTCAGTCCCAGCACGTGCCCGATCTGGTGCATCGCCACCGATTCCAGATCCAGTTCGTTGTCGCCCGTCATGTTCTCTCTCGGAAACACCCACTTCTCATCGGAGTCCAAAACGACATCCCAGTTCCTCGTCGTATTATCCACCCAGGCGCCGCCTACCACTCCTAGATTCCCGTCCACCGACGAGAACGTGATTTGAATATCAGATTCGTTAAACGACGTCGTCTCTGTGAAGTTCAATCTCGTCACCTCCGACCACCGGCGGAAGGCGCCTGCGAACAGATCCCTCATAAAGATCCCTGTTTCGTTTTGAGGTGAAAAAGCGTAAGTAAGCTCTTTCTTCCCTTCGGACCACCACTTGGCAAACGACGTCGTGTGATTCGCCGGCGAGGTGGAGGAGACATTTATAACATCAGGAAGGCCACATCTCGGCAGCGTGATCATTGACACGGTGGAGTTGTCGGGCTGGCCGGTGACGTTGAGGAGGAAAGTCTTTTGAAAGAATTCGATCGCTGATTCGAGATCGGCGGTGAATTCATCGGTGGAATTTGCATTCAAAGCGGAATCCAGGAAGCCGAACAAACCGAAATAGTCTTTAACAATCGATAGGCCTTCCACGACGACTCCTATTGCAATTCGACCACCCTTGGAATGCAAGAATGATCTCAATTTGTCCAATGCTTTGGAAATTTTGCCAAGATTGAGTGTTCTGAGGGGTTTGAATATTCCGTGCCACAACGATTTACTGAACAAGGAATGAGCTGAAGCTGGTCGGAGAAGAAACGGGGAAGATTCATCAACGATTAGAAGGGATAAAATCAAGACCGCAATGTAAGCTTTTCTCACTCTCATTTTTTCTCAGCTCCTTTGAAGTTGATGTGCTTGCTGTGGGAGCAGAGAGAATCCGAGTCTGGCTTTTAAAAAACCTGGGAAACGATAATTTCCATGTGACTTCGTGGTGGACTTGCTTTACCGTCAACGGAATTCCTTAAAATACTACGCTCGCACTGTAAAGTGGAAAAGAAGGCAATGATTTTGTTTTTCTACTTTTGTGTAATAAAATAGTTCATCTGATTTTATATGCAAATTACAAAAATTAATTAATTAAAAGATTTACTTTAATTTAAAATATTATATAGTAATTTTCATTAGTGGAGGAGGGGAAGGTCCAAACAAAAAAAGATCCTTATATGTATATATATGTGTGTGTATAAAATATTGTGGTTAGCCTTATTTAATTGGGAAAGCAAAATGACCTACATAATTGACGAGAACTTTGTCATGGGCACCAATGTAATGTCACATTTGTATGCCAATTTGCCAACAGAAAAACAGGGAAAGTTTCGGAAGCTATGCATCGTGACAACGATGTATATAACTTTGTATTTTTGTATATTATTTTTTTTTGGCCAACGATTAAATATTACTACTTTGGCGTAGCCATGAAAAATATATTAAAAAATTAATAATTTTATTTTTAATATAAGAGTTAGATAAATAATTTTAAAAATTAAAAAAAATTTATAATAATTATATGTATTGATTTTCTAAATCATCCTCTTTAATTATATGTATTAAAATTACTGTTTCTAGAAATTTTTTTACAATTAATAAAGAAATTTTGATGAAAAAAAGGTTATAAGTTTGGAAGATAAATATATTAAAATCTTATATTTAATAGCAAACTAACCTTATAACTAGTTTTTATCTTGAGAATAAGAGATAGTATTTTTTTAAAAAAATATATGTATGAGATCAATTTATTAAAAATAGGAAAAGGATACCCAGTTAAAAAGCTCTTCTACAAAATCAGGATATCAATAGGACAAAGGAGCCCCGCAAAATTAAGGTACAAACTCACAAAAGCCCAAACACGCGTAAAACAATAAGTACACAGAAGCCTGGGCATGAGTTGGGACAGAGTAACATTTCCTAAACTCATGGGTAGTTAACAAGATTTAGGGGGTGTTTGGGTTTTTTTCCAAACCTTGGTTTGGGAAAATATTTGCCAAACACCTTTTTTTTTTTTTAAAACCATGGTTTCCAGCAAAACTATGGTTTTGAGCTTGCAAAACCTTGGTTGTGCTGAAGCATCACGCGGGTCGCTTCTGAGGAGTTAAAAAACTCCCAACAGTAAAAAAGTCCCTCTTTTCCTATTCGAAGGTCTCTTCTCCCATTTCTTCTCTCCCATTCCATCGCCCCCTTCTCCTATTCCTCTAAAAATTATGGGATTTCATTTTAAAATCTTTAATAAATAATAATATTTTTATTGGCAAAATAAATTATTTTTCTGAAAACATATGTATTATTTTATATATATACACATTAATTATTTATTATTTATATTATTTATGTCTTATTTATTATGTTGCCAAAATATATATTATTAACAAATTTATTACTTCAAATAAGCATATATTATGAAATATATGTTATATGTAATTATCATTTAAACCTATGTCCTTTTTAGTAATTTCAACATATAAAAAAGCACTTCTGACAACAACTATCCAAACACTCCCACTTTATCAGAATCACTTTTTCAGAAAATCTATTCTTTTAAAATATATTCTCTTCAAAATCTATTTTCCAGAAGCTATTCTCCAAACCATGGTTTGAGGTTATCCAAACACCCCCTTAGGAGGTGTTTGGCATCCCTAAAAAATGTTTCTCAGAAGTACTTTTTCACAAAACGAAATAAATTCCTCCATATATTTACTTCATAAACCGTAAAAGCACTTCTGGATAATTATTCTAAAAATTGCATTTGAAAATAAAAATACCAAGATCAAAGGGCGAAACTTAGATGAGAACTCAAGTCCTCAAACAGAGGACAAGCCATTGAGGGAAGAAGAAAGGACTTCCTAATTTTCCAAAAAAAACAAAAAGGAAATAATAAAAAATAGAAAAAAAGCAAATACGGTTTTTTATGTTTAATAGTGGACATCTGGCGTAAAAAAGTATTTTCTTTATTTTCTGCTATGAATTGGTGCAGCACCCCGATCAAGCTTTGAGATTCAAAATCCAGCTCCAAACACTGTTGCCTTTGGGTTCGTGGAAGAGAGAAGCGCAAAAGAGAATAAACAGAAAATAAAATAAAATAGACATTTTTGACATTTGAAATTATTTTTCACTACTTTTATTTTCTTTTATGAACTAAAATATTCACAAAGAAGAAAGGGCTTGAGTTCTCATTGAAGTTTCGTCATCGATATTGGTATTTTTATTTTTAAATATAATTTTTAGAATAATTATCCAGATTTTTTTAAAAATTATTTTATAAAATTATTTTATAGAATTATTTTGAGAAAATGTGGGAATCCGACGCAAAGAGCAAATATGTTTTATCAGGTAACATTTTGATATTTTATTTTACTGTTTATAACATTTCCGTAAAAAAGCCCTTTGCTCTCTCCAGTCACGTATTCCTAGGCAGCCTACCGTCCGCAAGACACCAGTTTTGCTCCCTCCGCTCGCTCCCTCCCTCCCTCCAATCCTTTTTTGCCATTTTCGTTGCTTCGTCAATTTTTTTTCTCGTTTGCTAATTCTTTTTCATATTTTTTGAAGAGTACCAAATAATTCCTTTTTTTTTTTACCTGAAACAATTACATAAGTCGGCCATTTTGTAATTGAAATCCCGATGTATCGGTTGTCAGATATACATATCAATAGTGACACCAACGAAAATGTAAACTTAATGCCCTTGACAATTGTGGTATGCAACTGAAATAGAAATTAAAAAAAAAAGGAGAAAATCGCAAATTTGTACGGGTGTGTTTATTTGAAAAAAAATCTGGGGATGGAAAGGTGCGAAAAGTATTAGATCCTTCTTGTGGATTGCTTTTAACTTGTCTGGAGATTTGGGACCTATTTAAATCATCAGCGTCGCCTGAAGTTTCTTGCAGGGTGTTTGTCATCTTCAGCATCCTCAACTTCAGTAATTTCCAATCCTCTATTTCGAACCCTCAATAGACTCTCTTAAAATTTCTATCTCGCCGTGTAAAAAAGTAAATTTAAAAAAACTGGGAGAGATGGCATAAAAACTTTAAAAAAGCCCTTTATTACTGAAGAACAACTTACGTACATGGCAAGAAGCAGCAAAGCAAAACACATTTGACGAAGATCATAGCTCTAATTGATAGGAGTAGAGCAGCTCACAGTTCAGGATTATGGTACTCAACAGTTGGGCTTCATTCATTCAGATTTTATGCTAATTAAGCAATGCAAATCCAGTTATTCCAAGCCATAAAGTTGGAACCAGTCCCCATCCCGGCCCCACGCCGCCGCCTGCTGCGGCGAAGATGTTCTTAATGTTATCAGATTCTTCTTCTCTGAAAACCTTCCTTTCCCCAGCATTGAACGGGTACATAACCGCATTACGCATTTTCGAATGGCCAAATCCCAGCATGTGTCCGATTTGGTGCAACGCCACAGACCGTAAGTCCACTTGGAAGGGATCAGTCATGGGGGATGCCGGCGACACCCAGCTCTCAGAGGAGTCCAAATAGATGCCGGGCCTCGGAATGTTCCGTCCAAACAAGGCGGTGCCGATCACCCCCGCCCTATCGTCCAACTTCAAGAACTCGATTGAAATGTCAGGACTGTTCACCCACTGCGTCTCTGGAAGTGCAACCCCGTCAGCTTCGACCACTGGGACAAGGCGTTGAAAAACGTATTCTTCATCCAGATCGGCAAACGATTATCAGGTGAAAAAGCATAGGTGAACTCTCTCTTATTCTTCGGCCACAACCATTGAAATGACGTCGTGCCGTCCTCCGACATATGGCGATTCCAATAATCAGGAACGCCGCATCGCTTCTGGCGGATGAGTGAAACGGTGCCGCCGTCAATCTGACCGGTGGCGGGGAGTCCGTAAGTCTTCTGAAAGTCTCGTAAGGCTGATTGGACATCGGAATTCAAAGTGTCGTTATGGTAACCCAAGTAGCGCAAATAGGTTCTCAACTTACTGTTGAGTGTTTCCCTTCGAGGATTCCTCGGGTAGTTTAATTTGAGAATCCAGCTGCAATCGTCTAGGAATTCTTTGAAGCCTGGCATCCATGTTGGGGAAAGGATAGCATCAGCTGCAGGGGTGAAAGCTTCTGGTTCTGGATAGCCAGATGCGTCCGCAAAGAGAAGGCATGAGATGATGAAGACCAGAATGTAAGCTCTCCTCATCACTCTAATTTTCTCTCTCTTAGATTTCTGGGTTGGCTTGGTGTGGGTAGAGGGGAGAAGATCTAAGCTGCTTAAATAGCCGATGCTACATAGGGTTTTCACCGGAGACGCGATGCTACGTAGGGTTTTCACAGGAGACGGGGGTGTCACTGCCCTTTGCTTGCTGATCCTTGTGCAGCTTGGGACAGCATCTAAGGGGAAACTATCCGTGATTTTTATTTTGGTTCTAGTTATAAAACTTAAATTTATTTTTTCTCTTATATTTATATATATTCTTTTTAAGATAGTTCTTTTAATTAAATAATAGTAGTTCTAGCCGATACATTTGAATGGGGATCTGGTATGCTTAAATAGCCAGCTAGCCATGAGAAGCACAGTATTTTTATCAAGATGCTGCGCACGGTTTGAATTAAAAACTGATTTTACAAAGTTAATACGTGATAAAAATTTTGTCTTGACAAATATTTTTTCTGATGAATTTCCAATCTCTCTTTTAAGACCCATTTATAACAGTTTACAAATAATTTTTCAATCATAATTTATTAAAGAAATAAAAATATGAAAAAAATTTATTTTGACTTATATGATACTTATAACACTCTTGTCAAACTCGCGAATTGATTCTCCAAGTTTAACGTGTTTACGTTTTTAGATAACAAAATCATGTTGATTCGCTCTTAAACTCGTGATAACTGTAAACTGGGTTAAATTTACGAGTTCATTTACTGAATTTACCATTTTTAGCTTATAAAATCATGTTAACTTACTCTTAAACTCGTACTAAATTTTTGGATTTGATTATATTTAGTGACTTTATATAAAAAATTTATAAAAATTTTTTTGTTGATTGTGATAAATTATGAACATTGACGGATATAATTTCAATTATTAAATTTAAAATATATTTAAATAAAATTGTTCTTTTTTATATATTAATTATTTAATTATAAAATTTTAATACCAGTTTATTAATAAAAACAAATTCTTATAAGTTCATGATTCGAATTTGCGATCCAAATTTATATTATTATTATCAGGAACTTGTTTAAACTAGTGAGTTTTGACAACCTTATTTATAAGTATTTTTAGGCCCTGCTCCACAGTCCTAAAAGGCGTTTACCAGGCGAATCAGTTTGAAATTTTGTTAAAAAAGGAAAAATGGGAAATCCTTTAAGGCGGGAATAGATTTTGGTGGAAACATAGATTTTGGTAACAACGGGATAACAAACAAAATTAAAAATAGGAGGCGCACATGGAGTGGCAATGGCGGTGTACTATGAAGCACTAAGATCATTCACGTCCGCGGGATTTGCAATTTATGTTGGAAAAAAAATTTGTGAAAACGTGAAACTCGTCAAGCTGAAAAGCATTCATTTCTGTGTTACGATAGATCAAGACGGTGAATTTTTTTTAAAAAAAAAAAATTTAGGTGAATTGGGTCTCGGAACTCATCAGGACCAGGATATATTTTCAGGTTTAAAAAATATTTACAAAAATACTTATAAACTGTCTACTAATAAGATTTTTAGATTAGCAGCGGAATTCGAACAAACAGTAAATTAATTGTTGACAGCATTGACACTTTTTTGCGAGGTGAAAGTCGCATGGAATCCGAGAATTGTGGGGCCCATGGGAAACGAAGGACTCGTAGATATTTTTCTTAACAGTTTATTTTTGGATGATGGCCGTATAATTTATAAGTAGGAATTGTCTTGAAAAAAATTGTAACTAGGAGATTATGGGTTAATCCCACCTGCAACCATTAATCAGAGACAAATAGTATTATGATATTATTTTCGCATCTTTCTTATTACATCATCTTATTGTATCTAACATTTACTTTTTTTAAAAAAAAGTTAAATGTCCAATTTTATTTCTAATTTTATTTGTAGGTGTAATTTTACTTCTAATTCTTTTAGGAATGCAATTTTATCTCTGAAAAGATCATTTTCATTTTCATCGTTTCTTCAGTTTTATTTTTTCCTTGTTTACTAATTTTTTTCATATTTTTTGAAGAGTACCAAATAATTCCTTTTTTGTTCGTTGAAACATTTATATATCTGGGCCATTTTGTAATTGAAATCCCCATGCATGGTCGTCAGATGTACATATCAATTGTGTCACCAACCAAAATAGTAAAATGGAAACGAAATTTCCTTGAAGGACCTAAAAGCTATGAATGAAGCGTTATTGTGTGAAATAGGGTGGGGCCTCACTGCCAATCCTAAGAAACTTGTCTCTATGGTTCATCAGACAAAATATTAATGCAATGCAGGCTTAAAAGGTCTTTGGATGAAAACAAAATAATGGGTTTAAAAGGAATTTTATAATATACAAAGTAAGTATATAAGAAAAGTTTTATCTCAGTTTATATAAAACTGCTTTTCAACGGCATTTTCAGGAAAGACGAAACACCCCTGAATCAAAACTTGGGCAATTCTCAGCGGCAGACATTTAGAAGCACCTGGTGGAACATCATGTGGGACTGGAAAGGGCCAAGAAGAGTGCAGGTTTTTGACGTAGATGGCTGTCAATGGAGGGTTACTTACCTGTGCCAAGAGAAGTAGAATTCTAAACAAATCGCCTATCTGCACTACTTGTGTGTCCCTGCCGGCTCATTTTCAGGTAGCAAATTAGTGATTGATGAGTCTAACTATATGATTGTTAGTTGAATCTTTGTTCCTTAGTAGAGTCTGCAAGTTACTGGGTGAGGGATAGAAGTGGATTGATTGGTGTAGATCTTACAAGTGATGAAGAAGGAAAGAAGGAGGTACAAGGCGGATTGATTCGTGTCTCGGCCATCAAAGAGAGAAGTGAACTCATTTCTACTATGAACGGCTTCACCTTTTCATTTCAAAAAATAAAATGTCGAATAAAACAAGGTGATGATTTGATAATAAAAATTCAATATTATTCTTGGTTTGAACCGTTTCTCATAATTTTGAACTCATTTTTAACCTGAATGACCTTAACTATAACATCTTGATAAATACTTTTGCATTATATAACATTTTGCTAATTTTTTCTAACTGTTTATAGCTAGCATGTTGATAAAGTCCAAAAAAAGAAGCAAGTATATGTTTTCCTACGCAAACATTTGAGCATCTAAACTCCAAATAGCAATAGAAATCTCCTATCTCCCCACACTTTACTTACACCTTACGTGTAAACGTTAGATAACTAATATATAAAAATTTTAAAAAAACTATTTAAATTTATTATTTGCAAATTTAAAACCTAATATTTACCACCACATGATATTGTTGGTCTTATAACAATGCAATAAAACTTCTCTTTGATTAGGGAAGTTTTATTGCATTGTTATATATATGAATAATGATATATGATAGTGAATGTTAGTCTTTATCAAATGGATAATATGAGCGTAAAATGGGGGTAACTAATATGAGAATATTGGGCAGGATATATAGTTATATACAAGAAATGATAAGATTTGGCCAAGACAGGACATGGAATTGGATTTCATACAAAGCTCCTCAAGGACGTGCCAGAGGGATGTACATATTGGGATGATCATCTAATCCCTCACTTTTGTTTTTTCTTCTTCTTTCTTTCTTTGCCAAGCTTAGCTTGTCACTGACTGTTGGAAAAAAAGAAATGATAAGATTTCATATTTGTAGTGAATATATATGCAGGAGAGTTAGAGCGGTATTTATTGAAGAAAAAATTATAGAAAACTGTAAATAGTTTGAACATATTCAAATAAGGCCATTTAGGCACTGGTGAGGAGGGTTGATTAAGTAGTATGGAGTCTTTTGAAAAGAGGTAAAGTACGGTCAAAGAGACCATGTAGCCAATGCTATTCAGTAAGATAATATTTTGTTATTGTTGTATTATTTGTAAAAAAAATGTTAATTTTTCTAAAATATCTTATTTCATGATTTAGATTCAAAGAATATGGAAGAGCTTTTTAATATATATAATGAATAAAAATAATTAAAAAATTATCAATTAAAAGGACTAAATTAAGGCGTTGCACTTTTCAACCAACAATCTAACAATCTTTCAGCAATGAGTATTATGAGGCTTGGTTTAAATAGAGAAGAAAATGAGAGGAAAATTGGAAAAGAGTATTATAAAAAAAAAATAAAACTACTAAAAACCTTTTGAAAATTTTCCTCCTACTCTCGCTAAGTTTTTCCTGTCTAATTTTTTTTCTTTTTTTGCCACAGCAGGGAACAGAAGCCCACAAACTAAAATTAAATAACAGTGGGAATAGCTCCCATGCACTTCCTCCACAAGAGCCCTTAAATTATCCGGGCACACATCAAAAAGCTTAGAGTTTGAAATTCCCATCTTGACTAAACCATCCGCAACTCTGTTTTGTCTTCTTAAAATATGCTCAAGTTTGACAGTCTAGTTGAATCTCAGCAAGTTTTGAATCTGAATTTTAGCATCAGATTCAAGAATCACATGCTTAAATCCAAAGCCCTACACTGATTGCAAACCTCTGTTAATAGCCCATTCTTCTACCTCCTGAGCACTACAAGTGCCAGTTTCATGAGTAAAACCAGCTATCCAATGTTCTCTCTTTTTTCCTTCTACGCGCATATTTCTTTTTATTGAAAATGATTCTATTTAAGATATTGTCAGATATTTTTTTTATTGGGAATTCAAATCTTGATCTGCTATATCATAAAGGAATAACTTTTTTTACTAAATCCAATTCACATTGGTTCCAATGTCTCTTACGATAAGTCCACCACAACCAGCTTTATTAGAACCACTGCCAAGGCACTATCCACATTTAATTTTACCCAATAAAGAGGAGGGTAAATCTGGAGTCCGTCCATCTGGATCTTCAATCCTATTGGGGTTTGCTCTAATTAGTACATGACCTCTCGAGGACCCAAGCATTTGCAACATGGCTAGATCGATTGAATTGGGCTTCTATACCAAGTTAGTAGGACCCTAAAAACAGTTTTAAAAAAATTACTCAAATATTACACCGTGAAAAGTATTTATCAAAACATTGCATT